AACACACCATAATAGGATTCTGTTCTATTCTAGTGAGGAAAACGTATCATACTTGTGAAATGGAAGAATCGCTTCATCACTTGAGCGTAACTGGTACCAATGATTACGCATTCCTCCATTTTATAAGTAGGGTGTATGATATAACTCGTTTGGCTCAATAGAATGAAGCGGAATGATCCAAAAAGTGGATGTTGATGTTTTTCAGTGAAATATACTGAAAATACCCTACAAAATTATTACCAACAGCAGTACTCCAATGTCGCTCGTGCTAAACAAACTATTGGCATTGACGAGAGCTCTGTAACTCATTGTTCCTTTGGGGAAATTGCATATGTAACTGTCAGTCTATGTGTGAAACATGGTGGATATTTTCTTATTTTCTCACTCCTCCACAAAATCATACAAGGAACTGTCAAAATTTGTGTAAATAAACGTCACTTCGGCACTGTCATCAAGGCGAATTGCTTATATTAGTCCAAAAACCTCAACAATTCTCGATGAACATTTCAAATGGCCTATCTGCTTTGATCAATTCTCTTCATCGAATTTCTCTATTTATAACCACTGCTATGCAAACAGATTTCGCGCTAATTCTACCACATAGTTTGATAAATGAGGTTCTAATCTAGCGTCCAAAACGTCAAATACGACAGGGAAAGGTTTTGCAGCTGAGTTATTGACGAAAGAGAAAGTCGATGAAGAGAATCGATCAATGCAGATAGGACCTTTTGAAATGTTTATCTAGAATTAGTAAAAGATCAGCTAATCAGGATGGTCTCATACAATATTATAAATGACGTCACACGTGGCTAGTGAAATGTCTGTTAATGATATTTAACAAATTCCTATAGCTAATATAATATTATCTTTCAAACGTGGCACAATGGGACAGCATGGTATTTCTGTTGCACAAAAACCATAGCATAGCATGCTTGGGTGGATTGACAGGGATTTACAGATATCTTTAGGCTCTGAACCATTTGGTGGATTATTACAACTTTTGGTTAAAATTTGACATATAGAAAGTTATCGATGAACCCTGCTATCCGAGCGTGGTTACTTCTGACAGAAAAGAAGTTGAATTTCGACAACCTTGGCTAAGTTGTTCTCGAAAACCGGTTGATCGACAGCATAGGGATTTTCGAACATAGAAAATAACTTTCAAAATGTCACTTTTAACCGAGGGGGACGACTCTATCTACGATGCAAAAAAGATTGTGTTTTGCTGTGGCTAGCTGCGCGCACACTGAGTATATAGAAAGAAGATTGATGACGATTCTGAAGATTTCCTGCAAAAAATTGATGAGCGATGCAAGTAGATGCGACAAATGAAAGAAGATTGTTCGAAGATTGATTCGCTAGTGTGAGATTTGTTGACCATCTAAACTTGAGATTTAGATGTGTCGCCCCCCTCGCTTTTAACCATGAGTTAAATTAAACTCGGCAAATGGTTAACAGCCTTATAGTACGTTCAGACTACAGAGTTATAACATGTTATAGCGCTATCTTGATGGTGGTTTCTGTGTTGCAATTATTTGACAACCGTTATAACATGTTATAATTCTCCAGTCTGGACAGCGTTTTAGACGTCATTTTATTCAGTTTTATTAGGTTTTGAACCGTTGGGGTTAACCTCAGTCTGATGACAGTTCAGTGAAACTGTTTACGTGGACTTAGTCGATTTTTTCATGGGTAGATTTTTTCGATCATTTTTCAGACTGCAGTGAGATGTAAACCACACTTGTCCACGAGCAACATCCTTTGACCGCGCTATTCCTTGACAATTTTCCAGTTAAAATTTGGAAATTCTAGAATTTTTTTTTTCGAAAAAAAAACACTAATACCCCGGACAGACTATGGCTTATATCATGTAATATAGGCTGGCTTGCAATGAGCACTCATATATAGGATTTCCAGTGAAAACTAGATGTATGAGTGCTCATTGCAAGCCAGCCTATATTACATGATATAAGCCATAGTCTGTCCGGGGTATAAGTGTAACAGTAACAGTACCACTGAACTGTCAAAAAGGTTCAGTCGATTAACACTGAGTTCATTCGTGACGTCACGCTGTAGAACCTAATTGACTTCTTGCCGCAAGATATCACTAATACCCCGTTCACATTACAGCCTATATCATGCAATGAGCACTCATATATAGGATTTCCAGTGAAAACTAGATGTATGAGTGCTCATTGCAAGACAGCGTATATCACGTGATATAAGCTGTAATTTGAACGGGGTATACTACAACCTGTGTAACCCGTGTAAAATCGATTTGTTTATTATTTTCAACCATGAAATCCACTGTCAAAGTGTTCGACTTGACAGCGGTTTATTTTTTTATTTTCAACCAGTAAAACGCATGTATTAGTGAAACTGATCACTAATACTAATACATACATACTATGGCTTATATCTTGTAATATAGGCTGTCTTGCAATGAGCACTTATGCATCTAGTTTTCACTGGAAATCCTATGTATGAGTGCTTATTGCAAGACAGCCTATATAACATGATATAAGCCATAGTCTGTACGGGGTATAATACCCCGTACAGACTATGGCTTATATCATGTAATATAGACTGTCTTGTAATGAGCACTCATACATCTAGTTTTCACGGGGAATCCTATGTATCAGTGTTCATTGCAGGACAGCCTATATTACATGATATAAGCCATAGTCTGTACGGGGTATAACGGTATTAAAGAACTCTATAGAACAGTCAACTCTCCATTCTCGCTTCATTTTTCAATAGGTCCTATCTACAGTGAAGATTCTCTTCATCGGCTTTTTGGTTGGATCGCCACGGCCGTGTTTAGATATTTTCGAATATTTTCAACACATATTTCGATGGAAGAAGCAACAATCTTGCATCTAATACGACAAAGACGACAGGAAAAGTTTTTGTAGCCAAGTTATATACGAAAGATAGAGTCTATGAAGAGAATAAATTGATCATAAAAATATCATACATCCAGCTTTCTATATCTCGATAATCTCTCTATCTCAATCGATCTCTATGTCGATGGTCGTTAGAAAACATTCGGGAAAGAAAAATCTAGTCTACGTTTGAAGGAAGCGATCGAGTTTGTTTTGGATACGGAATAAACAAATCTAGCGTTCAGAATCAAAAGGACCTAATTGCGATAATCGATTATCTTCATCGATTTTCTCTTTGTATTACTACACTTAAGTGAAACAATTTTCCGAAATTTTTCCAATACTATGATGAAAAAGGTTATACTGGCTAGCAGAAGCAATAACAGACGCACCGAAAAATCTAGCTAAGTTACTAATAAAAGAGAAAATCGATCATCAGAAATACACTTTTTGAACCCGAAATGCCTGTAGGATCGTACCAGTAAGCTAATAAATTGCCGTTCTGTATGTCTATCTCGATGGTCAATATCGAGAAATGAAAAGGTGACTGCATTTAGATGGTTCTCAAGAAGTGCAAAATTGTTTATTTTGACTTTTTTAAATTTTCATAGGCATCAAAACGCCACAGCCTACTAGCAGCGATACATTGAAGGTGTTCAATAATTGTATGTTTAGATATGTTTGGCCAGCAATAACAATGAAAATGCTTTTTCATCTATTGTTTATGTTATGTTTCTCAGAGAAATACTAAATTTAGTTCATAATTTAAAGCACATTACTGAACAATTATCATGCAAATCTGCGTGCCATACATAAAATAGTAACAACGTGTAGCAACTTCTTTAACAGTGGTAGCCCCGAAGAAAAAAGATGGAACTCGTGTTTATTCAGTTACTCGGGGGTGTCCAACCAATTTTCCCAATGTTTTCCCCAGTCATCAAACCAATTTATTCACAAAAAATGATACAAATTGAAAAAAATGGGTTCTTCGGGTCTTCCATTGTTAATGTATACTTTCTTTGTTACACCATTGTCGAGTACACCAGATTTGGTTTGTATTCTGTGGATTGCTTTCAAATTAAATGTTACATAATACGAATCAAATGAGTCCAATGTGTTATACCCCGTACAGACTATGGCTTATATAACGTTATATAGGGTGTCTTGCAATGAGCACTCATACATCTAGTTTTCACTGGAAATCGTATGTGTGAGTGCTCATTGCAAGACAGCCTATATTACGTAATATAGGCTGTAATGTGAACGGGGTATTAGGTCGAAAATAAGAAAGACATACCTTATACCTTATACCTTGTACAGACATTCCATACATTGTACTCCTTCAATTAGTACCCCAGTCAACGTACTACTCGGCATGTCGGTTATAAGTATTAGAGTTTTGTGTATTTATAAATGGTCACTACCCTCTACAACGTTGCTCTGTAATTCAGACTAAAATACACGTGGGTAAAGGATTTTTAATTTTTCAATTTATAATTTTTTGGGGCTGTCCATTAGCCATACATCATTTTAAAGTGATTTTAAAACCTTTGCGCCTCCTTGTGTACGTAATAATCAGTAGCAAAGCCACTCTCTCTAAAGTGTCTACACAGTTTGTGGACAATCCCTTAGTGAATTCAAATTCATGTTTTATCATCAGGGTTGTTAATGACGTTAACGTTGGTTAACGTCTTCAATACAAATTCCCATTGAACACGTTAATGCTGACGTTAACGATAAACATTGATACAAATGGACATTACTTTTCTAAGCCATGCGCACTGAAATCCAATTTTATTCATACAAATCAATACTACCCGAGGGAACATTTCGCGTAAGAACATAACATAATAATTATGAGCAACGTCTGGTTGAATGTTCCTCTCTACTATAGAAAATAGGGTTTCAGAATCATCACTTAGAAATGCAATGTCGTTTTTTTAAATCTACAGAATAGAGATAGTGATCAGATCCATACCAAATGATAAATCGACCAGACTCGACCTTCTCCGATTTGCATGAAACTTTACATAATTGTTTGTTATGGGTGATCATTCATATTTGTGCTAATATTCGGTCATTTTCAATCTTGCAATTTTTCTCAAAATATACATTCGACAAAGCTGTAAAGAAAAATAACATCTTTCTAGGAATTGTACTAACTAAAAGTTATTGTTATTGGTCAAATTTTATTGTAAATTTTTAAGTTTTCAACATTTCAAAATTTTGTATTTTTAATTAGCCTTATTAAAAGAAAATCAAATATATTGAACAAGTTAATTTCTTGTAATTTAAATTTTTAACACTATTTTGGATCTTAGCAAAAATATGAATGATTTCACATAACAAACAATTATGTAAAGTTTCATAATAATCGTCAAAAATTCATTTTTTTTTTAACTATTTGGTCTGTACTGCTCAGTGTTATAGCAATTCCACGGTATAAATGTATATATGCCGAACGTCTTATAGATTCTAGCAAGGTAGTAACATTTCTTTAAGAAAAACGCTTAACAATACATTTATATTCGTTGGTTCAAAAATTTTATTTAATTTTGACGTCATATCCTTAAAGAGGGCAGATTTTTTTCCGATTGTTTAGGCTCTAATTGTTTCAATAATCACATAAAGTTCTTGCCATTAAGATATGGCATCACCTTCGAATTATGTTTAATCAGTATTCAGCAAATATTTTGTACATACATACATTGGAAGCATCATTAGGAGACTCAATACATTAATGAAGGGTTGTTCTAAGTTGTCTAAATTGAGCAAACTTATCAAGCAATGCGTTCCCGAAAACCATGCCTTGTTTCGTTAAAATAAATATTTCTACGTACTGTCTACACGGACACCTAAGAATCATACCCACATCACAAATAAGGTAAAAACAGTTTAGTTTGTGTGGTTTCCATTTTCCAGTTTCGCTTTCTTTTTGGCTTGATCTATTGATGCTGTCGCTAAATAGTTAGATCCCTCTAAGTGAAGCGTGCTTTGTCGATGTGATTTGCGTACGAGGCAAAATACAGCAATCACTAACAGGAAACCTCCAATAGCAAATAGTGCAATTGTAAGCACAAATTTAGCTTTCGCTGGGACGGTGGTAGCCACTTTCATCAGTTCGAGTATTTGATCAGGAAGAGAATCGATGCCCTCTTCGAACCACAATATGGGGAAGACGATATCTGGGAAATTTGCAACCTGTTTGATATCTACCACCTGACTAACAGCAAGGTTGATCTGGATACGCGCTCTTGCCCGAAGTGCTGTTCCCATTTCCTAAAAAGAGAAAAAATAAAAAGATTTTTTTGTTAGAATTACATAGGAGGTTAAGTATCTATATTTTGTATTGAAATCCGCTCGCACATCTTCCCACTTCTCCTTGTGTGTCGTAATTTGTGAACAAAGAGTCTGTAGTGATTGGATGTTTGTACTACCCTTCGTAGGAAGAACCAAAAGCCGTCGTGTGCTATATAAAACTCAATGATTGTGCAGAGCTCAACCAGTAATGGTCTTATTGCAGTCCACAGTCACATTGACCCTCCCAGGCATGTTTCAGTGTCCCCAGAAATATCCCGGTGCCGGGAAAATTGCCAATTCCGGAACATGCCCGGGAAGGCCAGAGTGATTGTGGACTCTTAATATGGCCATTACTGGCCGAGTTCTGCAAAGAATCATGAAATTCGATATGCAGCACTATGGGTTTTAGATCTGGTCGAGAATTGTCCACTTCCTCGGGTCACCAGAACATGCGCGGAAGGCCCAATGTGATCGTGGGCTCTCAATAAGGGCAAAACTGTTACGTTAAATCATGAAATTTAATGTGTCGTTCGGCGGGCTTTACTTCAGGTTGAGAATTGGCCTTGGGGGCACTGGGGTATTACCGGGGACACCAGAAAATGCTCGGGAGGGCCAAAGTGATCGTTGACACTCAATGAGGTTATTACTAGCCGAGTTCTGAAAAATCATGACATTTCATACGTCACACCCGTCGTGTAATTTTTCGGAGTTGACCTAGGGTGATCCTAGAAAAAATAGTCATGAAAGTCATCTTCTAAAGACTTTTAAAACTCTTTAAGACGAATGTTTTATAGCAAAATGTGTTGTCTGTATCTCTTCTAATAAAAAAGATATACCCGAATATAGTAAAAAATATGAATTAATTCAAATTGATTTTATACGAGTTTAAAAAATAACATACCTCCAATTTTTTCATATTATTGAGAATAACATACGCCCTTTCAAATTCCTTAAAAAAAAACTTTTTTTTTGTTTGCCCCAACCAGAGATATTAACATGTGAAAAGTGCATATTTTCGTGTAAAAACGTCAATAACTCTTGATCGGCGAAAGATATTGACAAGCTTTGTGCGGCAAAAATTTGCGCCTTCTTAAGATCTAAAAGTTATTTCAAGACACCTTTGCTGAGAAATTCGAAATAAAAAAACTAGAGCAAAACAACTGTTTTTTAGAGCCACCCTAACTCAATTTAAGAAAATAGCTCTAAATCGGCCAATTTAAGAGATACAAAAAAGTTGTTTTCTACAAAGTTGCTTGAAATCAGCTCAGCTATAGCTTTGCCCAGGAATGTATACCTTAATTTATTCAAACAAATAAGTTAGATTTTTGATTTTAATGATAATACGAACCAACCTAAAATTCATTGTCATACAAATGAGGGCATAACTATAAGGAACAACTTTGTAGAAAAGACTTTTAGTCCAAAGTTTCAATTTCAGGCTCAAAGCATATCATTCCACCTAAATCTGCATTCTGGACCACTGTGCAATGGTTAAGGACACAGGTTATAGGATATATTTTTGTATCTGTTATGTACATGATGCCCAGTTGATATAAGGGTTCCATTAAAATCTCATCTGAAAATTAGGAAAATTCAGGCCCACTCTCAGCTTGATGTGTTCATCGAGTGCCTCTACAGTTTTTGTTAAAATAACATCTCTATTGTTGGCACTGCTGCTATTCGCATTACAGTCCCAGCGAACAGGATTTCCATATGACATGGGACTGTTATGCAAATAGTTGTATTCTATGCCTGTACCATTTATGCATGCGTATGGCGAGTATTTAATATGATACCTAGAGAAATCGGGAAATTTTTCAGACCGATCAAACCCAAGACCAGACAGGGAATCTAAGCTGACTGCCTCCAGTATGGATGATGTAGATGTTTTAAAAAGATTGATCAAGTTACATTAAACGCTCGGCTCTTTTTATATCGGCATTATATTGTAAACTAAACATTCGCCCTTATTCTCGTTTTCGTTCGAACTGTATTTTTCATAAAAAAAAAACATTTTAGTTTTGTATGGGAAATACGGTTTGATCAAAAATGAGAATAAGGGCGAATATATTGCCGATATAAAAAGATTCGAACGTATTGCATATTTTCAATGTTTCCGGATTTTGATGGATAAGAAAAACACGCTCATTCATCTCAAGACTATTTGATATCATCAAGTCCAAGCTCTAATAGACATTTTAAAATCCATTCATGAGAATATATAATATGTACCCCTATCACACTACAGCAGAAATAAACGTCATATAGAGTATCCCGGTATAAAACTTCAAACGTATTATTTCTAGGTGAAATCTTGATATTTGGATTCTGCAATCAAGATAGGCTGATGTAATATGATCGGCGAAAATGTATTCGATAAAAATGGTGCTGTAACTTTTAAACTATTGTACAAAATAACTTCAAAGTTAAAAATATGTCATGATTCAAATACGCGCTTCGACTTGGGTTTTAAAATGTTGGCTTAAAAATATTATATTGCATATTTTGCCCCCAATTAGATTCCCAGCAGAATAATTTTGTCACACCACAAAATGTTCACACCGTTTTCAGCATACATTGGTTCATTTCGGTTTGTTTACCTGCTATTCCCTTTGTACTTTGACGTGTGAACATATGTTTTCAACTATCAAATATGTTCACATAAGTCTAAAAACCAAAGCAACCCGCAATACATTGGATAAAAACTACATTTTGATATTTTTAAATTATTGTTTCCATTCTGAATCTCGGTAAGTATTTCACTGAGATTATAAGAACTATGTGTGTAGGTATAACACTGTAGTTATAATACCGAAAAACCGACATGAATGACCATAGCAAAAACAATAGAATTTCTCACCAAAGCACACTACTTACATCTGGCTTCGTGTTCGCGGGAAATATTTAGCTAAGTCATGAACCCGCATGCAAAAGTTATGAATTGGTTCGTGTCTGATCTATTCTGGACAAATTATTTTTATCTAGATCAAAAAATCCTATGGTTTTGACAGTTCGGATCACTGCACATTTAAATCGGCCGTTTACGATTTTCGGACAAAAGTCAGAATTAAGTTTCATGTCGGTTTGTCGGTGGTTATAACATGTTACAAGGATATATTGATGATATTTTTCTTGTTGATAACTATTATAAAATATGACAAAGGCTGTAGTACGATGCAAATAAGGCATTAAATTGGCTATAATCGCATATTTAAAGGTTTTTTTTTAAATTCTTTAACGATCTTAGTTTTCAGTTGCTGTTTTTTGAGAACCGTCGCCTTAGTTATGGGTCACTTCCATCTGATCAACACGCAGAACTGACTGAGCCATAATAGTAGTAGCTTCTTAGTTGACTGTATAGTGGAAACAATTTATTTTTATTTTTGTCTGTTGAAATGCTGCAAAACAAAGGCACATAGCTCGGCAAAAACCGATACAGCCGATTAGCTCGGTATTTACTTTTACTGAGATCTCAGCAAAATTTATGTTTGTTAGCTGAGATCTCAGCAAAATTTTCGTTTGTGAGCTGAATTTCGGCATGTTTTTTACTATCCAGAAAAATAAAATGCAGAGCCAGTCAGTGGTGCCAATCTCGGCAATACAAATCAAATGTGTATGATATCTTACCGGCTGTACATCGATGAACAGTTGATGTTTCTCTTTTTCAGGTGGTGAAATTCCTTCAACTGCCGTTCGCAACGACTGGTCGGCCAGGTAGAAGTGGGGAAAACTGAGTAAAATTGGTGAATCTAGAGGAAGTAGAAGATTGTGAAATAATTTAAAGATAAATGTGCTTGAATGATAGTTACCGTATTGGCAGAGTGAAACGTTGAACATGCCATTAGGTGCACATGGCGGTCCTGCTGGACAGTAGCACATGTTGTCCTTGTTGATATCAACCGATGCGAATACATCAACCGCTGGGCTGAAACGGAATCCTTGCACACCGTTTCTAACGGTTACCTCTTTTTCAAAGGATAGCGGTAGAAGACGACAAAGGTCCTTTTCGTATACGTGTAAAGTTGCATTTTTTGATATGTGTGGTGGAAAGATGGATCCATCTGTTCCATTTAGACGATTGCACTGTTCAGTTGACCAGTGGGTCTGGTGAGACCTGCCGTTGTACTTGTCAATTATACCGTACTGAGTAATATCGTCAACGCCTGACCAAATAGTTACCCTATCCTGCAAATATTCGTAAAAATAGATTTCATCCAATTTTGTAGTTAGGAACAGCTTATTACCTTTGATGTACTATTTTTGCCGTACATAAGACCAAATTCTTCGTACGGTAGTTTTTGTTCCTTCGGTACTACATCCTTAGCAAGTTTTAGAAGAGGATCTTCGTAGCCCCACAACAGTTGTCCCACGGAAACCTCAACGAATGGTTTAATTTTCAAAATATCCATAATACTAGCCATTGCAAGTCTCAAGAATCTACACAGAAAGGCAAATTTACCAGAAGTCTTAATATTTATTAGCTATTTTTATAGTTCATTGAGTTTACCTGGCTGCATGTTTACTTTGCGATGTAGCACTAAGCATTGGAATGTTTGGCACTATAACTACATCGTCCTCGGAACCTTCAGATTGATCCTCATCGAAGATGTATACCCTCTTCTGGTTATAACTGATGGTACCGTTGGGATTTTCAACGATATTGACTTTCTCCCATGTTTGCCTGTAATATATAAAATACATGATTAGATTGGGTGTTTAGTGACAACTACTTCTGTTTGCCGAGAAAAAGATTGTGGGTTCTAATTCGATCCTTCTACTATACATAAAAAATATATGGTTATATCACTTTTGTATAGTGAATACTGATCCCTATTAATCGGTTGTTCCATTTTTTTGCAATGTTTTTCCCTTTCCATAATTTGTTTTCTACATAAGTCAATATCCTCTGGGTACAAAGTCTGCTCATTTGCATTGCACAGGACGTGGCCTTATTCACATTTGAGGAAAAATGGCTTCTTGTCTGATATTTAACTTTGTTGCTCTATAACTCATTCAACACACTGAAGAACAACTAGATCATAGTTGAAGATGCTAATTTCAAATAACAGACTGTAGTGATAATTTTATACGATAGATGGAGTAGATGAAAGTCTAGAGTTGATAGTTCCGTTAGAGTACGGCAGTGTGAAAATTGCATATAGATAGTAGAATAGCGAGCTAGGACAACTTTTTAAGGAAGGTACAAATTGGTTTTTTCATCTCTCTTTACCAAACTCTCCCTTTGGAGAGGAATGGTGAGGGGTGTCCACCGCCGCCACCACTGGCATAAAGAGATGAAAGCCGACCGCTCAAGTACCAACGATGTGTTTGAAATAGTTCTACCGATTTTTACCGCACTTCAGTGGTTATTTGAAGGAAGGCATCCAGTCGTAGGTTTGGAAATTGTAGCTATTGTTTACCCCTACCACTATACGGAAAGCAATTTAAAAATGGGACAACCTATTTCCAAATTTGAGAGGAAGGGTGTTTTACGTCATCGTCAATACCTTTTATCGTCAGAGGATAAATTAAATCCTTAAGCAGGATATAGTTTTATGCTTAAGAATATCATAATTATTGGTAAATAAATTTACGCACTCACAAAACTCATTTAAACCAATTGGTAACTGCACAAAGTGTACTTTTCACCTAACCGATACAACTCCCTACATACTGAAATGCATGACAACCAGTTTTTAAGTACATTTAAATAATATCGATGTATATCTGATTTATCTTTACCGGAACTTATTTCAATTAGCGGACTTTCAGACATTGTGTTATTATTTATCACTTTAACACTTCTTAATGTCATTCGTAAAAATCGGCACAGGACGCAACCCCAATGATCCAAAGTGTAATTTTGCTACAGAAGGCTCTGTTTAAAAGCATTATGACTAGACATTTTTACATAGATATTAATATTTATCCCACTGCCAGTGTTCGGAAAATCGTTCTCAAATATCATTCATTGAGTCTCCCTGAGAGAATAAACTTACATGCGAATTTGACAAACCAATCTCACGCTTGAGATTCTCTTGCATTTTCACACACTCACACTCACACCAACACCAAACAATAATTTCAGCTTAAAACTAATAAAAACCTCAAACGTGAATTGATAGCATGCTTATATATGTTGGGTTAGTTTTGCATCCATTGATGCAAAACAATAAATAACACCAAAATATAAAGCAATGCATTTTTGAACTTGGAAACTCATCGGTGATTTTTCTGCAGTTGAATTTTACAAGGCAATGCTCATAGGCTAATAAGTTCACGCATGAAATTTTAGTTTTTGAGTTTTCTCCGAACATTGCCCATTTATATTTCCTAATAATTACTTTTTGAAAAAAATTGCCGCAGGAACGACAGATTTTCATACATCTTCTTTGATTGTTACTACAATTCTTCCGTGAGCTCGGTAAACATGTAGTATCCGAGAGTGATGCGCATGATTGAGAACGAATGTGCTGTAGTAACGAATAGCACACATTTTGCCCATGGGCAGTGCAGTGAGCTACTAGCACCTCCTTCAGAAAATAATATCAGTGAGTAAAATGGTCGTCCTATTAAGAACTTTCAGTTCACGAACGATTAGTTGTAAATAATGTCATATTTGCATATGTTGGTATTTGAAATCAAAAGAATTTCAACTAATTTTACTACATTTTTCAAATATGAATTTTACTATCATCCCATTCATTTGTTCTTTGAATATTATGTCCTCACTGAAATTTTGCACCTCCACTTCGTAAGTATTTTATGTCCACTTTCGCAGTTGTTGATAATTAAAAATTAGAGTATGGTTGGGCAGGATGGATCTAGGGTAAATGTTGGCTTCGGCACCCATTGACTGTTTTCGGCAACCAAAATTTAAACGTTAATTTCACTATGTTTTCCCATCAACGCACTTCCCTGAATGTGTTCAAACGATTGTTTAGCCTTTCAGCTTCAATCTGATTATATTTGAACGATCGAGCAATCCAGTAATACTACATTTTTCTTCAAATAAAGCATACGCACTACAAAATGAGGTTGATTTCAAGTTGCCGATAATAGAACAGCTGTTTAACACGCAGTTCTAATGGGAAGGTTGCCGAAGAAAAAGAGGCTGCCGACAATAGTCACACTCACCTGAGAAGTTTGGAGCGTTGTAAAAACGCTTTCAAAACGTTTTGAAAAATTCTGTCCATTGGAATGGATAGAGAAGCAAGCAGCAGATGAATGTAAACAAACAGACACATCATATATGTGCGTGACGCTGAGAAAATGCTAGTAGAAGTGCAGACGCTGCTTAGATTGACGAGAATACGTAAATTCCCCTACTTGATTTATTTCTTTTTTATTTTCAACATCAACAGGCTCAAGGTAGCTGCGATGCTAGTTAGAAAAAGCAGGGAGTTGCATTGAACCTGTTGATTTTTACAAACATATAAATTAATAAATGTACTAGTTGACCCAGCTTGCATAACAGCTTCATTGTTTTGGCTTTTTAATATGTCGCTGGAATCTGGTAACTTTCCCAGGTCATGGAAAAGCTCCTATCAAGTATCTATATTTAAAAGTGGCAAAAAGCCTGACATAAGTAATTACCGTGGAATTGCCATTATTTATTGCATTCCGAAACTTTTAGAAGCAATCATCAATGAAAAACTATTTAATCAAGTCAAAAACAAATTAGCTAACATGTATATGAAACATGGATTCTTCAAAAGACGATCAACAAATACAAATTTACTCGAATTCGTCAACTATTCACTGATTTCAATGCACATACAGACTTCAGCAAGGCATTTGATCGCATTGACATACCCATACTACTATTCAAAATGCAAAAAATGAGAATAGAGCCAGGGCATCTCAAATGGCTCAAAACTAATCGTCAAAAACTTACGAGATTAACTAGCCTACGGCTAAAAATCTCAAAAATAAAATTAAAAATAATAATAATCGTTAGCAAATAGTTCGATTCAAAGGGAAGAAATCAAATCCTATTCAAGTTACGTTAGTAGTACCCCAAGGCTCTCATCTAAGCCTTCTGCTGTTTATATTATTTGTCAACACCATTTCCTTCCTTCTTAACAATATAAGATTTCTTATTGATGCCGATGACATGAAGCTCTTTTTAAGAACAAAGAAGACATCGAGATATTCCAGAAGGAAATACAAATTTTCTATATTTGGTTTATCGTAAACTTTTAACAATTAAACGTAAAAAAAAATCAAAAGGATTTAGTAGGAAACGAAACACCCAATCGCTTTTGGAAATCAAGAAGTATAAAAGTGTGAAAGGAATTAGGGATTTAGATATTATCTTAGCTTCAATATTAACATTCATTGGTAAAAATAATACAATCATCAACAGAGCAAACAACATGCTCGGATTTTATACACAGTTTTCAGGACCCATACACAATAAAACATTAAACATTGCCTATGTAAGATCGATATTGGAATATTGTTGCGTAGTTTGGTCAACTTTTCAATCACGCACGAAGAACGATTTTTTTATTGTTTGCACTTCGTAAATTAGGTTAGACAAGATTCCTTTTCAATCATATGAAGCCCGCTGCATGCTCATCAGCATCCAAACCTTAAGAGCGCCGCGAATTTGCAATGGTCTAATTGGTAACGATATTGTTTCGCATCGCATCGATTCAATAACACTTTTATCAAAATTTTATTTTTATTCCAAGCCACTATCGTACAAGCTATGCTAAATTATGACCTTTGAATCAAATGATGGCAACTCTTATAATAAGCATAGCGAAACTATTGACTTAACAATGACAAAAGCCAAATTGAAGCAATACTTCAATTCTATTCGTTAATTACGAACACGCAAAACTAATACAATGTAAACAAGATACTGTTTAGCCTAGCTTTTTTTTAAATATTACATTGTTTAGAAGTAAGACATACAATCTATTTATCATTGTATCAAAACGGTCTACTCTTGATTGACGACAAATAAATAAATAAATAAATAAATAAATAAACTGATCCTTGGAAGACATCATCACCAGATAGTAATTTCACCTGTGGACAAATAATATTATTGTCCAAAAATAATTAAAAAACAATCTCTATTAAAACACAACCTCAATTAGAAGCACTTGAAATTGATGACTTGAAACCATGGGGTAGATGGGGCTGGGATATACCTGCTTCGTTCTCAGACATAAACAATGAGCATGAGAAGAAAAACAAAATTTCCCACAGCCAATGTAAGCCATTATGCAACACAAGCAAACATTTCGGTCAGTCTGACTCGACTACTATAGCAGTAGAGGATTGGCTGCATGCCAAATGTAGTGCTTTCATTGGACAAATAGAAAAATACCTAATGGATGAGAAACAAAAAAAAGCTAGCGCAAGTAAATAAAGGCCAGTTGGTCGAATGGCACACGATAAAGGTGAGTCAAGTGCAAGTTGCTCATTTTGAATGGATATATATTGCTATATTGGAAATGAACGTACATGGACTTATATGAAAAAAAATATACAGCACTGAAAAAAGGGCCTAACAGCTTTTGTAAACAATTATTTCTCTCGACGATTTCTAGCAACTCAAGACACACCCACGCAAACCAATAGAACCGTCGGTTAGGGGAAGTCTTGGTTTATTGGGGATGGTGACGTTGCACAGTGGTCCAGAATGCAGATTTAGGTGGAATGATATGTTTTGAGCCTGAAATTGAAACTTTAGACTAAAAGTCTCTTCTACAAAGTTGTTCCTTATAGTTAGGCCCTCATTTTTATGACAATGAATTCTAGGGTGGTTCCTATTATCATTAAAATCAAAAATCTAACTTTTTTGTTTGAATAAATTGAGGTATACATTCTTGGGCAAAGCTATAGCTGAGCTAATTTCAAGCAACTTTGTTGAAAATAACTTTTTTGTATCTCTTAAATTGGCCGATTTAGAGCTATTTTCTTGAATTGAGTTAGGGTGGCTCTTAAAAAAACAGTTATTTTGCTCTAGTTTCCTTATTTAGAATTTCTCAGCAAAGATGTCTTCAAATAACTTTTAGATCTTAAGAAGGCGCAAATTTTTGTTCCACAAAGCTTGTCAATATCTTTCGCCGATCAAGAGTTATTGACGTTTTTATACTAAAAATATGCACTTTTCAAATGTTAATATCTCTGGTTGGGGCAAACAAAAAAAAAAGTTTTTTTACGGTATTTGAAAGGGCGTATGTTATTTTCAATAATATGACAAAATTGGAGGTATGTTATTTTTTAAACTCGTTTAACATCAATTTGAATTTATTCATATTTTTTACTATATTTGGGTATATCTTTTTTATTAGAAGAGATACAGGCAACAAATTCAGCTATAAAACATTTGTCTTAAAGAGTTTTAAAATTCTCTTGAAGATAACTTTTATGAGAAATTTCAAATAAAAAAGTTATTGCTAAAAAACTATTTTTTCCAGGAACACACTGAAAAGTGCATATTTTTAGTATAAAAACGTCAATAACTCTTGATCGGCGAAAGATATTGACAAACTTTGTGCAGCAAAAATTTGCGCCTTCTTAAGATCTAAAAGTTATTTGAAGACATCTTTGCTGAGAAATTCTAAATAAGAAAACTAGAGCAAAAAAACTGTTTTTTTAAGAGCCACCCTAACTCAATTCAAGAAAATAGCTCTAAATCAGCCAATTTAAGAGATACAAAAAAGTTATTTTCAACAAAGTTGCTTAAAATTAGCTCAGCTATAACTTTGCCCAAGAATGTATACCTTAATTTATTCAAACAAAAAAGTTAGATTTTTTATTTCAATGATAATAGGAACCACCCTAGAATTAATTGTCATAAAAATGAGGGCCTAACTATAAGGAACAACTTTGTAGAGGAGACTTTTAGTCTAAAGTTTCAATTTCAGGCTCAAAACATATCATTCCACCTAAATCTGCATTCTGGACCACTGTGCGTTGGTTTACGTGGGTGAGTCTTGACTTTCTAGAAACCATCTACACTGTCGTTCAGACCGACTCGAAATTGAGTAAAAAGAGGATTTACTCAAAAGTGAATTTTCCGGGAAAAACCCGTGGAAAACCAGGAAATATGGGAAATGGCTCTAATGTTGGCCTATGGACCTAAGATTGGGCCCATCGCTAAAAATCTGCTATTTATCAATTTTATCTAGATGAACGCGTCATTGAGATGGTACTAATGGATATTTTTGGTCGCTATTGAAAATTTAGTCGATTGCTGAATTTATGTATGGGCCGAAATTAGGGGCATTTAGGTCGACAGTACATCCATTTCTTCTACTTCTCGAATATGAGGAAAATCTTAGAATATTTTACTAAATCTTGGAGTATTTTGACAATTCAGAGATAAAATAGCATTTGGCGTCAGATTATCATAATAATACATGCATGCTGCGGTTGTCATTTGCGTTGATTTTTTATCCCTTTCGATTTTTCGATGATTCAACTTTTTCACGCAATATTTATGTTATTTGTCCATAAAAACCCGGTGGAATGGGCTTCGGTGCATTTCCGTTACCTCTTGATTTTTCCAAGGTGAAGGGTGGTCCGTACGAGTGGCCTTACGAGGCTTTTCGGTGGTGTGTTTTTTGCTCGTTTTCTCGTATTGCCTTTAAGACAAACGGACTACCCTCACCGACCTCTGAGTCAGAGTCTAGATCATCAACTGGCAAAATGGAGAACGTTTTACTGCTTTTTGGTGTGGTCTGAGAAGATGAAGCGGTATTCTTCAAGAGTTCTGCTAGTGTTCTCTTGGAGTGTGACCATGGATGTGCTCATAATTTTTTATAAAAATAATGGTCATGTTCGTAGTTTGTCATACAAGTGTATCCGCGGCAGTAGAGCGGTAGTAGTGACAATTCAAAATATCTCACAGTAATTCAAAATAATCTCCAGTGTTGGGAAAATATCAAAAAATCAAATCTCACCATTGCCCAAAATCATGCTTGATTTTGTAGACAACAATCAACTGCGGGCAATATTACAAGTTGTGATATCGTAGCTACGAATATCAAGCTAACAAATATCACCACCTACAATTCTAACCAAACCGTGGTGAGTTTGAGTTTCATGATTTTTGCTTTACATCCGAATGCGACCCGAAACTACCATCAGTGAAGAGTAAATAGAGATCAAGAGCAAATTTTCATTATGTCGTAAGTAACATTTGCACCGATCCGAGAAAAATAAAGTTTTGTTTTGATGACCTATTTCCAATTAAACACATATAATCTCATAGTGATAGCAATGTTTAACATATTTAGCCGGGTTTTAATCATACAAAGGCAAATCGCAAGCTTCCTCCTCTGTTTTGAGCATTTACTCATGTATGTGTAGATAATTTTAGTGCTTCCGACAAAGGGACGTATCAGCTTTTGTAAACAATGCATTTCATCGTTGATTTGGCGTAACTGGTAGCTCGCCCACACATTCTAACACTACCATCAGATAGGGGAAATTTCCCCCTACCTGCTACCAGTTACGCCAAATCGACGATCAAATGCATTGTTTACAAAAGCTGATACGTCCTTTTGAAAAAGTAATCGAGAGATGAATTATTATTGAAATTCTCTTCACCTTATGAAAAGATATTAAAGTATCTTTGCCTTATGAACTAAAATAAACAATTATACCGGTTATGCAAAAGACGTAGTTGATGCTAATTTAGTTTCAAAGCCAACAAATGTTTTGCTTGTATCATACTCACACATAAACATAAGGACCCAGTTCGTCCAAAACTGGTTTGGTACCGTTGTTTAAGAATTCGTCCGCATTGGTGACATTATACACGTATATTCGTATGATTGGCTCTACAGGTGGTTTCGACCACCAGCCGAACGATTGTCCACCCTTTCTTAGTGCTACTTGATGATTAATTACTGCTCTAACTAGTGTGGTAAATCCAAATGTGACTAGAACTCCGAGTACCAGCAAGCCCAAGGCGAATGCTATCACAAACCCTGCAAGAGAGAGAGAGAGAGAAAAGTACAAAAATAAGTAAATTCATGAGCAATCATCATAAAACGGCGAACATAGAAAGCAATGTGTTATCTTTCTATCTATTGTATGTAGCGCAGCTAATTTGCACCGGTATCGACTACTTGTAGCTGCTAGTTACATAGTAATAGTAAGAGTGAATGTAATTTCCATCTCCGTTTAGAAAGTTCAATTTCCAACGCGATACATCATTTCTAAATCTGAAATCTTGAATCCATTTTCCATAGCGCAGCGGTGAAAAGTGTTATGCTGTTGGGCAGCGAAGCGTCAATAATGTATCACATAATTTGATCACTGATGCCTGATCTAGCTCCGACGGTGCTCAAGGCCGTTTAGTAAATTTCAGCTTAGAAGTAGATATTGAAGGCGACTTTTTACGTTTACTCCGTCAAATTCAAGGTGTGACCATGGCAGTTGTGGTACAGTGGCTATTTTTTACAAGAGGCTCTTTGATGGGTATCCGGGTAATCCGGTTTCAATTACGTAAGTAACTTTTATTATCGTGGGGTCATATGTGCCTGCTTTGCGCTCGACCGTGCATCAGGTGGCGATTAGGATGTGCTATACCGACGGTTTAAATCGACGACGTTTCTGTGAAGGCCTTATTGAGGGAAATTATTTGATGAAGTCGAACTTTAGTTGTAGTTTTACTGAAATGGATGCTTCATGCTTTGGAACAAAACTGACTCTATGAAAATTCAAAATGTAGAACTAAGCGCAAAACTCACAAAACTTACGTTTAATGCCGCACTATGATTCATTTCATTTAAGTAGGTACCTACATTTGTTATACACATTTTGAAGAAAGAACAATGGGTTAGAGAATCTCACGACAATTTCCCAATCAACCGTTCAAAGTTTTGCGCTCCACCACGAGCGTGTACAAGGTACTTCTCACAACCTATCTTTTCAATGCAAATTACCCTGTGTTAAATAGGGTTGGAGGCATTTATTTTGGGTCCATCATTGGAATCTATAATTCAAGCAACATGCGTCTGAAAGAACTATGTCTAAATTCATTCAGATTCTGACCCAATGTACACACTTAGATTATTTTACCGAAATCTGTGAAATTTTAACGAAATCTCAACAGCTGAACGTTCGGTAAACAGTTCGGCCATTTAACAGATTTCGGTAAAATAATCTTAGTGTGTAGAAAAGATAAAACATTGTTAGTTCTAACCCGGGTCTTATTCAGAATAGGAGGAAAGGCCCTTTATCAAATCTAATCATTTGTACTATCTTTTGAGCCATGTCCTATATAGGCCTACGCAAATCTAAATTTTGGTGCATTTTTTTATGGGAAATTGTGATTTGAAATAACACACCGGTTTTTAATGATAGTTACACCCTGTTACACCCAACTGGGAAATGTAAAATTTTATTACAGATTTTCATGAAAAGTATGCAGAATTTGCAATGTTTCGTGGCATGAACAGATACTTTAATGTGGTCGCAGGAAGGTTTTAAAATAATTTTGAAATGTTTATGTTTGCTTATTTATTCGAACAAAGTTTGTGTCCCCAAATGCATTGCGTCTAGAAAATAATCTCATGGAGGTTTTATACATAAATTGGATTCTGGAAAAGCTTGCTTGTGCGCTGCAGTTCATTGTAAGAACTGACATTACATTTTTTGTATGAAACATATGCAGAGGATGTAATAAATTCAACCTTGCATTGGATTTAAGAGAAATTAATTTGCGTAAGCCTTGTTTTGAAGTTAGTTTTACAATTCCTAAATTGTAAAAATGAGAATATTTGGACCAAAGTCCTGATGCACTGCCTAATATCAATATCATCTGGTGCTCAGCCGCATCGAGTCTTAATTTGTTTACATCAGCGCATTTATGATAAATTTTGTCAATTACCGGTTTTACCGTATTAAATTGCTCAATACGGTAAAACCGGTAATTGACAAAAATAAGTCATAAATGAAGAATGAATATGCAGTATCATCACTTCATCATCATCATCATCCAGAGCCGAAACTTCTGGAAATTCTTGAGGAAGCGAAATTTGTATCTGGGGCTGTTTCTAGTCTTCAGATAAATGCTGCAGAACGTCATCAGAAGACCTTGGAGGAAGAATTAGCTGAAAGTCCTCCGGTACACAAAAATACAATATCTCCAAAAACTGACCATTCATCTCCTGGATGGTGGTTTTTAGGCAACAAATGGCACTGGAAGCAGGACTGGTCTAAATTTGACGCAAAACAATGGACTCGCAGGTTGCAGGAAAGAGCTGCTGAAAAAGCCAAATGCAGCAGAAAACGACATAAAAAAACAACAATAAATCCACATCCACATCCAAGGAAATGAATACAGCCACACCAAGGGATCGAACAAGCAACTACTGACCACAGCGAAAGTACAATTTGCTGGTCCGCCATTGACCACCGAACACCCAAATTGCAGCCCTCTCGGTCCCAAAATTTATCAACTTCAGGAAGGGTGAAACCATCAACCAATACCGAAAAGAAAAGCAGGTACAATACAACAAGACTGAATCGCCGTCATCACTTCTGCAATCAAATACAACATCTGGATGGTCACTCGACCCTATGCGCCCACCCATCGTAAGCTTGACGCAGCAATCAGCTGATGGGGACGGGCATTTCCTGAAAGCACAACTACGGTACACAAAAATAATGTACATCGTTCGCCTTTATTTGGCATATATGCATGACAAGGAGCCATCGTTTTGCCATGAAGGAATGACGAATATTATCATCAAAATTAATTTGGCATCCGAAGGACTACCGACTTCAGCGGAGGAACTTTGGAAAATCTTTTTCGAGGTGCATGAAGAATATTGTGTAACAAAACAGACGGCATCTGACGACTTGGAATCCTATCGGCGTCATCTTAACAACCAGAGGATCCAACACCTGCAGCGTATAAGGGACAAATTTCACAACCCGAATTTTCGGAAGCAATGACTTCTTTCTACGAGAAAGAGGTAAATAATAATAATAATGAAAATATTTTATCAACCGACGTACTTCAAAAAATTTCTTCACATAAACAGAATGCGACTGAAATTTTGATTTACTGTCAAATTTCAATCGCATGAATAGCCCAGCTAAAATGAAGGAAATCTATCAAAATTTATTATGCTCATCCTTCTCGGTCATCCTGGCAACTGAAACAAGCTGGAACGAAAGCGTGAACAGTGAAGAAATCTTTGGAAATGCCTTTAATGTATTTAGAGATGATCGAAATTTTCATGCAACTCAGAAGAAATCAGGTGGTGGAGTCCTTATAGCTCTTTCGGCCAATTTTAACTCAGAACACATCTTTACACAAAAAATTAACAGTATTTGAGCATATTTGGGTGAAATCACACATAGCCGGTGAAACGCACGTGTTCGCCTCAGTGTATTTTCCACCAGACCATGCTCTTAAAAGCACTTATGAAGCCTTCTTCAAAAGTGCTGAACAATTTCTATCTGAGCTTCCTCCTGAGGTTAAAGTTCACATCTATGGAGACTTTAATCAACGCCATGCTGACTTCATTCTGGACTCTGAAAATGAATGTATCTTACTCCCAGTCGTTGGGGATAATGAAACATTGCAGTACCAAACTAACCACATAAAAAACCAACAAAATTGCTATTTGGACTTTTTACTAACGAATATTTATGAAGATTTCTGTGTGACCGAATCATTAAATCCACTGTGTAAAAATGAAGCATTTCACACAGCAATTGAATATTCTTTATTTGTGCATGAAAACCAAAGACCCAACGACTGCGAGTACCAAGAAGTCTTTGAATACATATTAGGAGACTACGAAAAAATAAAATTTAAATTAAACAGTGTCAATTTGCAATTAATTTTAAAGAATGTAAGAAATGTCGAAATTGGTATAGACATGTTCTACAAAGTTTTAACAGAAATAATTTCGGAAGAAATTCCTTTGGAGAAAAAAAGATGCAACAGAAACACACAAAATCCAGTCTAGTATAACAGATAAATAAAAAACTTGAAAAATCGGTTTTTACATTAACGGCATTAGATTGCAAAGGTTTGAAATTTGGTAACTTAAACTTATGCACTATTTAATTTTGCGTATATATCATAATGACCATTGAATGTTTTGTAAACATACAATTAAAAAGTGCAGTCTGCAGTCTAATAGCCACAGTTCTTGTTGCTCCGTTTTTTGTTCTACGAAGAAGTGTAAGGAGTTTGCTTAAAAATTGAAAGTAATTCAGTGCTTTGCAGTTGGTAAAATATTGTAGAAATTTCACTGAGAATATTGCTAGATTTGAGTGAAAAAGTGCGATTGGTGAATGGTTTAGATGCTCCGGTGTAAACATAAAACGCGTGCTGGAGAGCAATGACGAGGATGATTTATGAAACAGCTTCGAAAAAATGGACAAACAAGCAGATATTTTTGGTGAGATCTTTCCTTTTGTAATTATTTAACTGAATATCAATTTTCACTGAATCTTTACTTTATATGGATCTTTACTTAATAGAATTGATATTCCTAAATATATATCATTTCCTACTAACACAAAAGATCCCTTCCGTGACATCTATGAAGCTATATGGGTTCCCTGCACCTTCTTAAGTAGATGTTGGGCTAATTTCCCTTCCTATCCCCTGCGATTGTAAGGATGTGGCCAGATTAATGCAATGCATTGTGGCCGATGTTTGGATTTGTGGGAAAAAGTGTTTTTTCACGGAAACAAACGATGTTTTCTGCTAAATGTATTGTTTGACCATTATATAGACCCCCCCCATTTGTACAATCGCATATGCTATGCTATGTTATATCACAATGACCATTTCGTTGTGAGATACACAGATAAAAATTCTGAATTTTAATAGTGATGCAAACATTCATTCACGTAAACTTGTATTTCGTTTCACGGAACCGAGCAACTTGTAAACAATGTTGTTTACAATAATGGGATTTTGTATACAATATTTGCTACATTGTATGAAATGACT